AGTAGTAGCACAACAAAAAAAGTAAATAAAATGGTTATTGTTACAATTAATGAAAATAAATGAAATTGAATTGTTACCATTGTTGTTATTCACGTGCTGAATGTTTAAGTCTGTATGTGACTTTAGCATATTATCACACACTATTTAAGGATTATATAAACCCACATAAAAGCATAGCAAGGTATTTATGAAAAATTTAATTTGAAAAAGTTCACGAATAAACACAAAAAAATACACTGAATTAATTAGAAGATAGGTCACCTTCTAAAAGCAACCTATTTATTACTTTTCTTCCCTTGAAACCAAATAACTCTGACTTCAACATCAATTTATGAAGTTAGCTTATGTGATGTTCTCTCAAATATTTCAGTTGTATTGAAAATTCAACATTCATGATGACTGGGAAACGAGTGAATGCAACTAGTGAAAGATAACTGCAGACATGGAGGAAATGGATGAAAAGACTCTTTTTCTTTTCCTCTTCTTCTGTTGTTATGTTGCACATTAGCAACATATTAGTGCCCTGCTGCCTCTCACTGGTTTATTAATGCTATTGGTTCCTTTGTGGCTACTTGAATATTTTAAGTAAGTGTCACTCAAAACAGTAAGTAAATTGTTTTATTTGCCTTGAAAGTAGCTGTAACTTAATAAAACCTAGTAAGTATAACAACTAAGTAAAGATAACTAATTAAATCTAAGTAAGGTAAACTATTGGATTTTACAGTGAGGAAAGCACGTCCAAAAATGACGGAGTAGCCTATTCTAAGTTCTTTCTGCAGGGGGAAAAAAATGGAGAGATTGCGCGGGTGCCTCCATATCATATAGTATGTAGCGTCTGGACCAATCAAACACACAATATATATTTTGTTTTTATATTATACGCATATATAGTGATTTTATTATTCATATAAAAATAATAATAATAATAATACCCTGTTTTGGTCATATTTACTATTAATTGCCCAGCTCCCCATCAATGATCTAGCGCAGAGACATATAGTTCTAAACTGAATGTGCAAGAGAAGCATTAGCCTACTTCTAATTTGGCCAAAGATTTTCTATATTAATTTGTGCATTTTTCAATTGTTTATTAAAGGTGAACCCCGTCTTCTCAAATCTCACCTCATAAAACAATGTCGGTAAGTGGTCCAGTCCTCCTCTGTCAATATCACTCGCAGCACGCTGTACAGTATTAAACGTTCCACCCTATTTTTTGGTGTTTTAATGCGATCACACACAGGGGTTTCAAATCTAGAAGCACGTTACCTTTGCCAGAACATTGTTTTGTTCTACCATTGGTTCAAGGAATGTCATTTTCTCTTTTTACTTCTTAGCCTACTTTTTTTTAAATGTAAATCTATAAATAATTTAAATAATGACAGAATTTATTTATTTAATTTAATTTAAAGGGGTCATATGATGCGATTTCAAGTTTTCCTTTCTCTTTGGAGTGTTACAAGCTGATTGTGCATAGATAAGATCCCTGAAGTTGCAAAGACTAAAGTCTCAAAACCAAAGAGATATTCTTTATCAAAGTTAAGACTCTGCCACGCCCCCCTAAAACGGCTCGTTCTAACACGCCCCCACATATCTACATCACTATGTGGAAATATTAGCATAATGCCGCCCAAATGTTCACGCAAAGAAAGTTTGAGAGAGGCGGGGCGGTATTTGAAAAATAATGTGCTTTTTGAACATTAAAGCATGTCAGCATATTCTGTTACACCAAATACACCAAATAATGATCTTTAAAAAAGCATCATATGACCCCTTTAATTAAAAAATGTTTTTTGGTGAACTCTTTCTTTGAATAACTTTAGTTTTGTCCACTGGGTGGCAGTGACTCCAATGAAAGGCAGAGACTGAAGTGAACAAGCAGAAAGGCTTACATTATAACAGTATCTTCATAAATATGCAAGACAGCCTGTTGAAAAGACGTTTAGGAAAAACATATATTTAGTTTTAGTTTTTTTTGCAAAATTTTGTTTGCATATTCTGAAATGTCACCAAACTCTTTAATTCTAACATGCATCATAGTGTGCCGGGTACCTATTTACTAGTAAAGTCATCTGAATATGAAGTGCCAGATGGTTTTCGTACTAGTCTATTAAACACTACTCTATTTGCTGGAATTATTTACAGTTTTGGCAAGCAGATGAAAGTTGGTGGTTTTGGAATAATTTGATGCATGCTAGCACCGCATATAGAGGTACACTGGTGCAATTAACAACAGATCATCTGCTAAGCCTCTCGTTCACCTAAAGATACTTTTTTAATGCAACAAAAGTTCAGAGAAGTTAGATTTTTTTAAACCTTTCAACAGTCCCAAAAATATTATTTTACACTAGCAAAATCTGATAAACCGTAACCATTAAAATACAATTTCATACTAGCTGTCAGCTCATCTCTCTTTCCTCAGTAAACACATAATCAATCTCAATCTGTTTATTTATTAGAAGCACATTTGCTTCCACATCTGCACACATATTAACACCAGCCAAGTGAGAGCTTGCACACAAGTTAAATGAAGTTAACCTTCAATTCAATTCTAATACAATTCAGTTCAGTTCTAACATTATTTATAGAGCAGCTTCTGTAATAACAGTGCATTTAACAGACTGCAAGGTCAAAAAGTGAATGTAATATACAAATACTATGGAATTGTCATTATTGTAGCGTCTGGACCACTCCAACACACAATATATATTTTGTTAGCTAGATTTCACAAATACTTTGTAACACCCCAGGACGCCGAACAAGACCCTGGTTTCATGGTAACCCGATACATTTACAACCTTGTGGAATGCGAGCCAGCTCTCATTCTGCTTTCTCCAGAAACAAGGGGTAAAAATGCACAGGAGAAATGGACTGTTCTACTAATTAATTCATAGGAAAACCTTCTTTGAATGAACACCCATTTTCTTCAGGCCAGTGTGTATATTATTGCTGTGTTGTATTTAATCTGTTGTATTATAGACTATTTTTATCCGTGCTTACGATAAACCACACATTCATATAAGTAACTATTTCATGTCTAGTATCTATGAATTCGCCTTCTTATGATCGAAACAAGTGTGTATATTATATGCTGATACCTATGCAACATATTGATGTTCTAAGAATCGGTACTAATTTGTGCCTCAACACTCCAGCGAATTACATATGCAAAATACCATGCTTACAGACAAAGACTCATAAAAATCCTCAGTATTTCCAACCTCCCGCTTGGGATTTCAGCCAGCTACATTATTTTTCAGGCACAGTGGCACAATGTTTTTGGAAATGTCCAATGGTATTACAGTGGTCTACTTTAAATACCATGGTATTTGAATGTGTTCGTAATTATTTAGTGCTCTTCCTGTCAAACAGCGCTTTTACTTTCTTTCCCTCTTACTTTGTTTCTCATGTTTCACTTTATCGACTTGTTTTGTTCTCTTAGGTGATCATGGAAGAACAATAACAGACATATGGGAGAACTGATCTTAAAGTGGAGCAGAAGTAAGCTTGTTTTTGTTATGAACACATGAGAATGAACGGAAACATTATATCATCTTCTTTTTCCCAAAACCCAGCTCCATGAATGGTTGCAAAATGTCCACATGGGACACAGGATTCCCAGAATTTCTCATCCTAAATTGACCTTTCTCGCTTGATAACATGGAAGCTGTCTCTAAATTACATTTGTTGACCCTTGACTAGTACATGATTAATAGTTTTAGATGGTTTTAATTAATCAATCCTTCATTAATCCTGCATGCTTAATCAGAAACAGACGACTTCAAAGATATGTGTGTATTGTGTGTCTCATGTGGAAGAAGAGGTAAAAGTGACTGAGTGGATTCAAAGGCACAGACCATTGATTCCCAAAGACAATCACATTCTATACAAAAACTTGTTGTTGTTGTCTTCAAATAAGTTATTGCAGATTGTAAACAACAAACATATGGTCTTAAAGCAATAGTTCACCCCCAAATTAAAAATTCTGTCATCAGTTACTCACTCTCATTTGTTGGATGACTTTCTTTCTTTTGTGGAACAGAAAAAATGTTTTGAGGAATGTTTATGCTATTCGTTTATATATTTAAAATAAAGCATATAGTGACCACAACTGTCAATATCCAATAAAGCACAATAAAAGTGGCCCATATATTGTGTGCTATATTCCAAATCTTCGTAAATCGCACAATAGCTTTGCATAAGAAAAAGAATGAAGTTATTAATTACTGAAAGCCTCTTAAATCATATTCATGCTTCAACATATTCAAACCTTGCATGGTGTGATTGATTGAGACACTTGAAAATCAGTTTAGCATCGATGTCAAACCTTGCTCCATGCACCAAAATTGGCGTTCAGATGACTTACATGATACTTTTATTAAACTATATTATATTTCTATGGTAAAACATCTCCTTTGATGTTATGTGGAAGAATTAAAATCATACAAATTTGAGACAACATGGTGAGTAAATAGTGACAACAGAGTGGTCTCAGCTAACTTTCAAGAGGGACATGGATGACTTTAAAGTATTTAAATTAATAAATTATGATTGACATATCAAAATAATCTACCTCTGATCTAAATTAAAATGAAGAACATGTGGTTCTTGTAACTTCTGGAATTACAAAATAAATAATGGTTAATTTATTTAATATATCAATACTCCCAGTTTGAAAGTTTGAAATCATTACAGCAGAAATACCAAAAATATCTTAGCCTGTATCACTTGACTTGATTTCAAACTGAATGCTGATGTTGTTAAATAGAACAAAATAGTGTTTTAGAAAAATGCACTGACTTTAATTGAAAAAGTATGAAGCTGCACTTTGCACTTACAAAAGCACTAGCACAATAATGTTTCTCTCTCTGTTGAGGAACACCATGTCCCCATTTGTTCCATATGGCAAACATAATGTGTAAATCTCCAACAACAGAGGCCACAGAAGATAAAGGTGCCTGTTGCTCCAATACCAGACATTTGTTAGCAATTAGGCCGGTGCTCAGGACTGACTCACTGAAGCACAAGCACCGTGTCCCACCTCCTCCTTTTCTCCTCCTCCTCCCTTCATCCATTCCCTCCCTTTCCCACACAGAAACAATCTCTCCCTCTCTCCAGCATGTTTCCCAAAGCTGCACATGGTTATTGTCCAACGTATTACTTTCCTCTGGTTCTATAGCAAAGAGGCAGCATGTTATAGAGGGATCTTCCTGACACACCAGCTGGACCCACAGGGGTTTTCAACATTGGATAACGCCGCAGATTTGGTGCCTTAACTTGTGTAAACAAACCAGTATGCTTCTTGATTGATGCTCGGGATTCTGATGAGTCATTGAAATACACCCCAAGTTTGAACAATCAAACAGGTGACATATATTCAGCCTCAAGTCTCCGCAGTCATCTTTACCAAACTGACCTGGGGTGACTTTACAGAATCAACATGAAAGGTAAGCAATCTTTCTTTTTATTGATTTCTGACTAATGTGTTATGGTTTTTTAATTCATGTGAGAAAATCATTGCAAACATGAGCGTGCTGACAGCACATATTCAAGACCACAGCTTGGAAGTCTAAAGAAAGCAGGGACCTGTTGATGTTGGATGCGAGTTTGTCGTTCTGTTACTTTGAAAGCAGAATACATCATGCCTTCATCACTCTCAGCTTGACACCATTTGCTGTTGAATTTTTAGTTAAACACTTAGATAAACCACACTGTTGGGGCAGCACTTGGTTTTAGTCAACACTGAATAATTCGCTTTTTCCTAAAAGCCAAGTGAGTTCTTTTTGAAGGGAAATGGAACATGTGGATCTGCATCCTTTGGTAGGATCTTTAATTTATAGGAAACATATCCAAGATGAAGGTCAATTTTTCACTCTTTTAATGCATAATCCAGAAACTCATGAAAGAGTATTGCTCCTAATGCATTCCTCATGCGGTGAGGGATGTGCGGGGAGTTCTTCGTTCTTGGTGTGGGCAGCAGGTGTGGAGCCAGTGCTAACCACACACATACATGCGTTCCCTTCAGCTGTTTTCCCAGGATCTGACCGATGCATCTATTTGAAATAGGCAGATAGGCTCTTCTTAATCTCGATTACATCTAATTGAAGTGTATCAGATATAATGAAACACACTTGCTCTTCATATTTGTTTATAATTGAACACACAAGGACCTGTTTAATGGTCAAAGAAAAAACTGTTTTGTTACAGTCTAATGGGGTTGCCTTAAAAAAAGTTTGGCTTCAGAAAACAAGCTGTAAATCATCCAAGAACGTGTACTTTCATGCAATTAAGTCAACCCATGTGTGACTGTAAACATGTCAATATCTAAAGATGGGAGTAGAGGGGTGAGATTCACCTCCAGTTTTCAACTCTTTTGTTTTCATGAACTATAGTATACAGTATGAATGTTTTCAATTACTCTCCATTGAACTCTAGGGATGAACTGCTCATACTTTTTAAAATGCGTGTAAAGCAGTTATACATCAACCAGAACTGTGGAGACACTTGTCTTTATTAGTTGTGGTTGGGTTTTTGTGGTTTGGAAAGACCCTGCCCTCTGCCTCTGCTTCCCATCTCTAGTTTCAGGCGTTTCTGTCAGATGTTTTATACCCACTGCATTCATCTGGTCACATAATACCCATATTACTGGATGTTTCCTGTTTTGGTGCTTTTCAGTAAAGGGTATCCATTTAAAGGCACTGGGCAAACTCCTGAACCCACAGTTTAGAAATCATGCACACCACGCAAATTCGTTTTTTAGGACATCAAAGCCCTGGAAGTTACCCGAGAACACCTCACTCAAGTAGCTTTCCATTGCACAATTTGAAAGATTAGGAGAATCCTCGGAAATCTTTGGCCTGTGTAGAAGGTGTTGAAGAGCTTAACCACAAACTTTTGACATTGTGAAGTTCTGAAAGGAGATATCATCTTGAGCATTGTTCTCCAAAGAGTTCTCAACTGTTGTATTAAACATTTGTCTTCCTTGCTGTATTTCTGGAAAAGAGGATGAGCTGATGGATGCCTCATAACAAATCACATAAATATGTTGACAACCAAATCTTGGTGGATTAAGTGCATCTCGGTACATCTTGGTGACCAAGACTTTGTACTGGCCACTGACAATATATAATTTTCATCCAATCTGTATTTACATGCTACCATTGTGAAGTCATATGGTTTTAGTTATTCTCACAGTGTTTCGAAGACCTAGAATTAAATTTTAACCTTTAATGTCTGGGTTGGGCACAGATGTTGTTTGCATAGCTGGTTGCTAACATACTGTACAGCATCTGCCCAAGTGGACTGATTTACTTAAGTATGTGCACCTGAGATAACTGATGATATCCCTCTAATGCTACTTAAATTGTGTCCGTGGTCAAGAATTGCTATTGATTTAGAGAGAAAACAGCAGACATGGCCAGATTTTGACCTTTAAGTACCATTTACTGTATAATATTGTTGTAACTTGTAAACATAAGACTCCCTGCTTGTTTAAACCTTACATCATGCAACTCAATTTTGAAAACATGCAGAATGTGAGTGCCCACCCTTTATAAACATTGGCATATTCATCTTATGCTCTTAGACTTCTTTCCAAATGTAGAAACTTTCCATTTCCTCCAGATCCTTGAATGACCCGGCCAGCTAATTAAATATCCTGCCTCTTTCATTAACTTTCATACTTTTTAAGTTTACTTCTGTTGACCCAGCCATAGTGCTTTTTGAAGGTTCTTGGCTTCCTTGTAAGCAATGTTTTCAAAGGGAATGCAGACATCCAGACCAGACGGAAGGGTCCCCTCCTTTTCCTCTGTACTGTTGGCAACACACTACCACAAGACCCAAGGTTGCGTCTGCTCCGAGCCACCTGTGTAGCCAGGACTGGTGGGGAAATGTAAAGTCTCTCCACTTTCTCCCTTATCAAGCTTTTGCCCCTTCTAGCACTCTGGCTCTGGTAGACCTGACCTCAGCGGCTTGAGTAGTAGGTATAAACAGTTTCACATGAGCTTAGCAGGTCTGGCATGCAAAGCGTGGCTCCAAGACGTGCCCGGGGTTTGAAAAATACAGACCCAAGATTTAAAACAAACGGAAAACGAAGCAGGTGCAAACTCCCTGAGACTGTGGTGTTGAGGGATGTTATTGTAAAAGTGCTTGCTGAATAGTAGTGTCCGATAAAGAGAAAACAGGTTGCTGTTTAACAGCATTGGCAGTGATAACTGGCATACCTCCAGTAACAACTCTTTACCTTTAGTACCAATCCAGTGCCCTGCAGCTGCAGAGTGTAGAGATGTTGAGTCACCATTCCTTGCACCTTAACTCTTGTCCTTTCTTCTCAGCCAGGAACACAGTGCCACATTTTCATATTTCTGCATAGAGTTCAAGCCCAATTTTCAAAGCAGACCCTGGCTTGTCTTCAGTGAGAATATGACTCTCCAAAACATGGTAGATTGCAGGCTTCTGTAAAGATGCCCTCACATGTTCATGCTTTTTGTTGTGTATTCCTTCTTCCCATGGAACAGTTGTGGGACATGGATGGTCTTGGAGACCACATAAAATGAAATTTACATGCCTTTGTTCCTTGTTGATAAAGCTTCTTAGATGTTCTCATGGTGTATATAGTCCCATTTCTTTCCTCACTTGAAGCACCTCATACATTTTGGTTGTACTTCAGCAGGTAGTAATCAGCTGTTTAGTTTACTGACTGTCATGGGTGGCTGCAATAAGAAAAGAATCCAGTTAATCCTCTGCTGACAATGCTTTACCAGATGTTCTAATTGATCCTCTATTCTATTTATAGCTATGTCCTGCACCACACACTGTTTTATTTTTGTGGCTCATGGCCAGAACAGCTGTGGTTTTTCCCAACTAAAGCATGTTGTGTACCTGGCCAAAACATCTCTTGGTGTTGCAGCCAAGAAATAGTTGACCAAAAATGCAATTTATTTATTTAAAATAAGTAATTTGTAAATGTGTATGCATTTAAATAAAACATAGGAAATAAAATGAAAATAATATGAAATGAAATAAATAAAACATTATATTAAAATAAATAAAGGAAATTTAGTATGCCATTAAAAACAAACTCAACATGGGCTTCTAAACTCAAAAGGGCCACAGTAAGGGCCCTTTTTGGCATATGTTAAGAGCATCTCTGACATACAAAATATTCCCAGGCTATTTTATTAAATAAATCCTCCAAAAGATCCAATCAAATTTAGTACACTTCCCTCACCAATTTTGTGTAATTGTGCTAATATATGGTTCTTTCCAGCAGTGACCTCATCTAGTACGAATCGGTCCAAGTTGACTGGTTTTTGTCTTAAGGCCGAGTGCTAGCAAGCAGGCCTTATGGAATTTCAACTCTTATGATTTATGTTTCTGGTGATAAAGCGAGAGTGCGTGTGTGTTATTCCCAGAATAAGTTTGTTTCAATCTATTGACCTTAATTTGCAAACACATACATCAACCCTGCTGCTTTTTTCCTCTTTTGCAGATAGCTATAGTGGCTACGAGAACCAGCTTTTTAATGGTATGTGGAGTCTTTTTCTTTGTTCGGTTTCATTTGAGCCTTCTTGATATAGACTTATAAGACCAGATATGTGTTTAATTCCTGCAGTGGATTTTGTTGTCCTTTTATAATCTCCTGCAATTAAAGTTTGAGACCTGACATGTTGAAATTACGATGGTACAATGTTTTTGTTCTGTGCAGGAGGTAGATGATGAGTCTCAAGGGAAACTGGGCTTGATTAGCCAATACGATGAACGATGATTTAATAGAATTATGGTTACTTTCAAGTACAATGTTATAAATTGTAAAGGCATGACTTAATCGTGTTTTGTGCAATTTCTCTTTGTAGAGGAGGACTTAACTGGAGAAGAAGAGGAAATTCCTCCCTTGAGAGGTTAGAAAAATTAATCTTTCTTAAAGATTATTTCTCTCCTTATTAATGAGGCATGACGGAGTACAAAAGATGGAGTTCGTAAAAGAGAGTTAGACAGTAAGCTGACTGTTTTGATCGGTCTACATTTTTTTGCAATGTCTAAAGTGTTTGTTAGTGTGTTTATATGTACATGAGTCAACATTTATCCACCGTTTTGTGAGTGATTATTGACTATTGATTACATCTGTTTTAAATGTTCAGTTCTTGACAGCATTTTGAAAAGCTTCATTTAGAAGCTCAGCTGCAAGCTCAGTTGAATTATTACATGTCGAATTTGAATAGATTCTCTTTATTGTTTTGATTTTTTCCCAAGTGTAGTTGTGTATTTAGGTGTTAATAGTCTATTTAATGTTGATATTTGGGGTGAAGTTTTAATTTTTTACTTACCTGTTAGGATATAATGGTTAGTTTATGATAAAGTTCACATCTTTATGAGAACTGAGTGTCTTTTTGTGTCCATAGGAAGAGCAAGAGGAGGATGTATGAAATGTCAGCAGACACATTCTCTTCAGCTAGCTGTCAAAATGCTCTATGGTTTTTTAGCTTTGCTCATCATTGCAGTGGCCGTGTTGGCATCCCTTGGTAAGTTTTCAAGGTACAATCATGTTTGCAACAAGTTTTTTGTTGTTTGTTTGTTTGTTTTCCTCATTCTGTAAAGTGACGCCAAAGTGAACAAAGAAAGTTAAATGGTAATAAAATATTTTTTCATGAATCAGCGATCAGCATTTTCACATGAGAAGACTCACTGCTGGGGGGAGTCAGTTATGGGCCAGAGAATGGAATGTAGGACATCCCAATTCTCATCCTTCACATGGTTACAACATGCAGTGTGGGTTTTGATTCAGCATAATGCTCAAGGTCAACAATTTCCAGATTTAATAGTTAGAAGTGAGCAAAACCTTGCCCACACAATAAATCTCACATCATGTGTGAAGTTAGATGCCAAATCTGAATCCTTTGCCCCACTAACAAGTATGAAAGCACAACGAAAGACAATAGTGAAAGAACTACGAATCATACCTACAATATATTTCACCATACACAAGTGTACAAAAACAAACCCAAGTTCTAAATGCAATGGGGCTTCAACAAGAACTTCATGACTTCATTGTCACGCTTGCCGGTTCTAATACTACCATGTCAGCCCACAACTAGCTAAACTGTGGCAAAACAAATCAATAAGAATGTTGTTTGGTTTGATGAAAAATATATGATGATGGTTTCATTTAAAGAAAAACAAACCTAGATATTTCATAATGATGCCACATACACATCTGTTTCATATTGCTGTAACTCCTCAAAAATGTTGTTGTAGTATGTGTGTAATATGCATACTACTACTATGTTAAGGAATTTGATGAAGGAAGTTAATCTGAAGTTTGCACAAGGCAAGTAGATCAAGTAACAAGTATCCTGTTTAGTGATAAAAAATAAGCAATTTCCTTTGATCACCTTTTTAAAATACAGCATGTTAAATGCCTTCATACAGCTAGAATATAAATTACAACCGCAAATGAAGTTCCATTATACTTTACCAGTCCCCATAGTGCAAGATTAAGTCTTGGTGTTTGAAGACAGGTTCTAAAAAGAATTCCAAACATGTATTTTTTTGAGAGGAAACAGAGATCAATTAAGCTGGGTTTGCTGTTCCAAAAATATTATGCAATTTCACATTTTTTATTAGAATTAGAAATTTGTATCAAATGTGAATTTATTTCTTTTGCTTGCTTATTTCGCATCACCTAAATGTCTAAAATAATGGTTTTAATATTATTAAATTTGTCTCATCAGTTTTCAGGAGAGTTGACACCTTATCTGAAGAGGAGACGTTTTACCGCAAACAGATTTCAAAGGTCCAAGAAAGCATAAAAGGTAAGAATTCTTATTTTTGAATTGACTATTATTTTTTTATATTTTCAGTTTTAATTTTAATTTTAGTAATATATTTCTATATATCTTTAATTGATTTTATTTTCAATTAATTGTAGTACTTACACTTATTCCACTTAGCTGACAAGGCAACAATTAACTTTTAAAGTTTTTATCTAATATTTTTCTAAGCTTTGTTTCAATTACCAAAAACGGTTTTAGTTAACAATAAACACAAAGCTCTACAACAGGAAAATGAAAATGTAAAAAGAAAAACATGTTTTCACACAGTTGCTTCTGTTTAAAATAGGTCTGCTAGATTTATCTAATTTGTTTGTCTAATCTCTCCGTTCACTTCCTGTGGTCGGTGAACCCCTCAGAGAGTAAAACCTCATGAGGGATCATTTATTACCGAAATAATGGCCTACAAAACAGCTGTGCACACAGAGTGCTCAGTCTGTTAAAACAAAACTGCATTTTCATGCAATTTACAGTGTATTTTGTGTCAGCGGTACAAGAGATTCACGGTTTGGTGGTTGTATTGCAGATATCAGCGCTGTAAACAACTATTCCAACTGCTTAGATGTTGCTCAGTACAAAGAGGAGATTGCCAGACTGAAGAAAGAGTATGAGAAGATCCAGAAGATAGTACTCAGTCAAGAGCAGCAGTTGGAACAGGCGACTCAATCTCAGCAAAGTCTTACGCAATCCAGCAACAGAATGACTAGAGACCTCCAGTCCTTTGGAATTATCATCAAGCGGATAAACCAGTCTCTGGGCCAGTACCTGGATCAGGTAACTGGCTGGCAGGTTGTCATCAGTGAAACTGATCAGGGCATGAAAACCCTTATTGAGGATCAGTATGATTTGAAGGCCATAATGCAACAAGTCAACACTACTGTCGCCCTTAGTGCGTTGTGGATAGGTGCTCTTCAGAGGAAGGCAGAAGAGGAGACCTTGGTGCTTCAAAAAATAACAGCAGACTGGCAGAACTACAGCAGAGTTTTAAGTGCCCTGAAGTCTAATGCCAGCATAACCATGCAGACCGTGAGGGCTGTTCAGAATGGTGTCTCTGCCACTCACCAGCGTATCAGCATGAGTTCAGAGATGGTGCATGACCTCACTCTGCAAGTCATAAACCTTCAGATGCAACTGGATAATGTCTCGTCTTACATTGATGAACATGAGGAGAACATGCATGACCACCAGTACCATGCCAAGTACTACGAGAACCGAACCGGGGAACGATTTGTGACTTTGGATGCAAGAATGAAGTCCATTGAAATGGAGATCGACACGCTCTCTTCCAGCTTCAAAGCAACCGTTAGCCATGTTCGGAGCATGTACCAATACATCAACCAAGAGAGTTCCTCTTGCCAATCCAGGCTGAACAGTCACACAGAAGATTTGCAGAACCTGAACAACACAGTCTTGCTTCTCCTTCACCTTGCTGACACTCTGAGAATGCAGTACATGATGTTGAATGTACGCCTCAATGCTGATGTGAGGAACCTATCAATGGTGGTTGAGGAGATGAAGCTGGTAGACACCAGTCATGAAAAGCTGATCCAGAACTTCACTATTCTGAAAGGTAGTTCTGTCAGGACCACTATCGTCAATATAACTTACGATTAGCATACATTTTAGGTTGGGGGAATGGTTCTGTTCTGGGCAAACACTCCCTGCCCATCCACGCAGCCTAGCATGGATAGGAGCAGGGAGAGCAGAATACCCCCCGTAGGGTAACAGAACAGAACCAACATCAGTGATAAATGCAGCAGATACCATTAATGTTCTACGTGATTATTTAAACAACATGATTCAGTGGTCTGACTCAATGATATATTCACTGCCAAGTCCTGACTGGACAAGAAGAGGAGCTGGGGATGGAGGTGGGTGATTAGTTCCTGAGCGAAGCGATAGCTGCTGAATAATGACTGAAGGGACCTTATGAAGGGAATTATGATTGGTGTCGTGATCCTCTAGGTAGACATGGATCAGCTGAGTGTCAGCTGATGCAAGCTTGTCTAACATGGCCTGCCAGAACTATCGCTACGCTCAATTTCTGTCAGGACCACTATCGTCAATATAACTTACGATTAGCATACATTTTAGGTTGGGGGAATGGTTCTGTTCTGGGCAAACACTCCCACTGCCCATCCACAAGGCCTAGCATGGATAGGAGCAGGGAGAGCAGAATACCCCCCAAAACAACCATATGCTGAACCCCCCAAACCAAGATGCTGATAGCAATCTATCTGAATGCCTTATGGAAGGAGAGTGGCAACGAAAGGGTGCTCTTCTTTATATTCAGCTAAGAAGAGCAGCAAGCCCCTTACTGGAGGAGTGTAGCAGCGAAGAGGTGCTCTTCTTAATAGCAGCCAAGAAAAGCAGAAAGCCCCTTTTTAAAGCAACCTGAAATTAAGATGCAGAATCCACTAGATTGCAGCCTAGTTGCCAGTTGTAGCAAACACTGCGTACTGTAGCCGTTGAGCAAGCAATGACAGGTTTAGAGATTGCAGATTCTGCCTAGCCTAAGCTGAGCATCCATAACACGGCATATATCTCAATAATTCAAGTCATGTTTATACAGGTTGTCACCTCCCATGATATTAGCGTTCGCTGACATACATGTCCTCTATCTGATAACCCGCATTAGTGTAGTAGACAATCCTTACCAATACTCTCAAAGCTTATGCAACAGTGTGTAGCTTGCTTAAGCACAGCATGTTGCAGTAGTCAGACCTAAAGAAAATAGCAATTACCAATAACCAGGTGACCCATAGCAGCAAGCATATCTCAAGATAATTGATGGCCTTAAACAATAGCTTAACATAAGCTTCTTGCTTTTGCAAGTTTACCCGGATACCAGCACTGCAGAAACACCCGATGGCCTAAAGGCTGAATAATGACTGAAGGGACCTTATGAAGGGAATTATGATTGGTGTCCTGATCCTATAGGTAGACGTGGATCAGCTGAGTGTCAGCTGATGCGAGCTTGACTAACATGGCTTGCCAGAACTATCGCTACGCTCCATTTGTCTACTTTTAGTGCAAAGATCCTCAAATTCAGCCCTGCAGGGTCACTGAACTGCAGAGTATTACTCCAACTCTGATCAAATTCTGAAGACCTTGATTAACTTAGGGTTGAGGCCTAACCTCTGCTGGACAGTGGTCCTCTAGGGCCGAATTTGAAGACCTGTTGTAGTGTCTATAAAAATAGGTTCACTTGCATGTTCTTTAAGTGTCTTTTTTCTGGATTCTTTATAGGTGTGTCTGGTCCACCAGGTCCAAAAGGAAATAGGGGAGAAACCGGAGCCAAAGGACCTGTAGGTGTAACCGGACCGAAAGGTGACAGGGGACTTGCAGGGAATCGTGGAACTCAAGGACTTAAGGGCGCTATGGGAATTAAGGGTGATCAAGGTGTACAAGGATCTTCAGGAATGAGAGGTGGGCCAGGCCTTAAAGGAGAAAAAGGGTCTTTAGGGCCACCAGGGCCTCGTGCTGAAAAGGGACAGAAGGGTGATATGGGGGCTGCTGGGAAGGATGGAATTCCTGGCCCCAAAGGACCGGCAGGTATCCGAGGGCAAGCTGGACTCCCAGGGGTACATGGCCCTCCTGGACCACTAGGAGTACAAGGCCCTGTGGGACCACCGGGGCCACGTGGAATACCTGGACCACCAGGGAAGCCTGCTCAGAGTTCATAAGCAGATAGACATAAAACTTCAAAATATCCCAAATGGTGATACACTGACTGCCTTTCTGGACAGACTGATGATGATGGTGGTAAACATTCACTTAGAGATCTCTCGCAAAGCAAGATGATAGTGGGGACTCTTCGGGATCTTAGAGGCCCACATGTACATTCACCAAATATGGAGTTTGCTCTGAACAACAATACACTTTGTATAGGCATTCAACACTCTTGGATAGACCTCAAGCCTAATTCTATATAGGATATTGAGCCACTTCATAAACAGTTCTTGTTTTAACAATGGTTACAGAGCCAGGCTGCTATGAAACCATACTAGGTACCATTCATTAGACTCAATCATTAGCCAGCATTAGCATATGAACACAGATAAACATAGGACAAATGGGACTGTGCTTTATTGCTTTTTATGAAGTGTATTTAGTAGTGCAGTATTGGCGTCATAATCACAGAACATTCAGAGCAGGTACTCTGAAACATGATTTTTATTAGTTCAAGTAAACCAAATATTTCCACTCCTTAAAGGTACCATAGATTCAAGCTTATGAAACATTGTGCGAAAAGTTACACATTATTTGACAGTTGCTGGCATTGCATGAAACTGCAAAACCAAGGCACTGAGCAAATTTACAGAACTGTTACAAACTGTACAAACAAATTTATTTCAATGATTGGCAATGTGCAACATTAAGTTTTAATGTTCATATTGGTTTGATTTCCCAATTTGTAAATATAGAATTTTAACAGGTGTAATTTTATGGGGTTCATGTGTTTTTGAGGACTTCATGATGTGTTAGCATACAGTTTATTCTCTTTGCACAACAATAAAGGGTTATATGAATGTAAAAAGGGGGACATTTTTGTTTAGCATTTTCAAGTTCACTAAGCAAATACAGTATTTATGATTACTGTTTAATAATAAAATCACGAAAACAAATTTTAAAAATATATTACCTGATTAGCTATCTACTCAGCAAGCACAAAATGTTTTATAACATTGCGCAATGTTGCATTTTCGTTGTTGCTTAAAAAGCAAACCAAAAACAAAATGTGCAATTTGCAGATTTGGATTATCAAATTACTGAAATATTGAAAAGTGCAAGTACTAAACTACGATGTTGTTTTATTTGACCAAAATAAATAATTTTGGAAATGTAGACTATCTAACAGGTAGGTTTCTCTTCAAGTAAATGCAAAACATCAGTATATATTTCTATTACAACAGAAATATAATTCCAAACTGCATCGTTTGTATAATTTCATTATTACAACAACTTGCTGGCTGGGTAAAGAGATTTTTATTCATCAAAGTGTAATATCTGTGATATCTGACTACTAGCAAGCATAAACAGTTTCCACATGCGACAATAAATCATCATTATGACTACAGTGAAAAGGTCAACTCCATTATAAGGGATCATTATATGGCTCATTTCAGCAGAACACTATCAAAATTAAGTGCAAAGCTGAAATAAAATCTACATGATCAAGAGTCAATCTAGTGACATAACTAATGCTAGCAAGTCTAGTGTTGATTAGCATTAGTGTGTTGATTAGCATATCACATAATGACTTTTACAGTATGTTTCATCTCTCAACATACAGTACATAAAAGAAATTAGTTTTGTCATAGCTAGCGTTAACTTTTCTTATTGAATCGTGACTGTAAGTTCCAATCAGGAAACAAACCATTAACATTAGATGATTGACATTTAAATGTGGTGCAAGATCCCTGCACTCTAAAAAATGCTGGGTTAAATACAACCCAGTGCTGGGTAAAATAGGGACAAACCCAGCAATTGGGCTGTTTTGACCCAGCGGTTTGATTAAATCTTTAAAGGGGTCATAAAATGCTATTTTAAAGATCGTTATTTAGTGTATTTGGTGTAACAGAATATGTTGACAGGCTTTAATGTTCAAAAAACACATTATTTTTCAAATACTGTACATTATTGTAGGTCCTCTATGCCCCGCCTCTCTCAAACGCGTCGTTTTCAACAAAGCCCCCTCCTTTGACAAGCGCAGTCTGCTCTGATTGGCCAGCTGACCCAGTGCATTGTGATTGGCCGAACACCACAAGCACGCGTCGGAAATGTAACCCCCTTACCATAATCCGCGAGCTTCAGCTTTCAAAGTAAATATCAAGACAGTTAATAATGTCATTAGTTTTACCATCAGTTCAAGCCGAAAGTGCACAAATTCGAACATCTGGGGTGTGCTGTTCTGTTGTAAATAAATCTTAACCAATGATTCCTAATTGCATCTACTTCCGGAAGGCCAAATAAAGGGCTTTTGCTTTCGCACTGAAACACAGCGTCTCCCTGACATGCTGTTCCTGAAACCACGCCTTCTTTCTTTGCGTGCACATTTGGGCAGCATTATGGTAATTTTTCCACATAGTGACGTAGATATGTGGGGGCGTGTTAGAACGAGCCGTTTTAGGTAGGCGTGGTTGACTCTTAACTTTTATAAAGAATATCTCTTTGGATTTGAGCCTTTAGTCTTTGCAACTTTACAGATCTTCTTTATGCACCAAGAGCTTGTAACACTCCAAAGAGAAAGGAAAACTTGAAATTGCATCATATGACCCCTTTAACCCAACCTTCTGGGTTCAAAACAACCCAATTGCTGGGTTTGTCCCTATTTTCTGTTTATCTGTTTATTCTTCAATCCCATTATTTCTTTCTCAATTTCATTACTGTGACAATTGATCTTCAGCCTTCATCTCCAGCTTGCTCTTTATGATATAATCAACAATTTGGATCTGTGGGTACCAAAACATTTTTTCAAAGGAAATTGATTCCTTGTGGGAATGACAACCTAATAGTTGTTGTGGGAACCAGCTATAGATAAACCCCCACAGCCAAACATCACATTTCTAGCTTTCTAATGAGTGAAACTCATTGCCATGGTATCAGTTGCAAAGTTCTTCTGTCTCATTGCAGTTTGTAGTTTGTTTAGCAACCCTAGCAGAAGTTTGTGTTCTTTGTGTTGAGGCCAAAAGGAGAATATGTGATGTTTAGATCCTAAAATGTCCTTTTGCTATTCAAATTCTCAGGTCAAAGTTCACTGGACTTGAACTTGTATGAATGCAGTGCAAAATAATTTTGGTGCACATACTTGTATTCCCGCTCTCCCATATTTGCATGGTTAAGAATGGAAGTTAATAAAACACCAAGTGTAGCATGACCACCCAATACACTAGGAAATAGTTGCCCATTCATGAGCTCTTACAGCTGGTTGCTCTCTCATGTCCTTAGGCCCAGAGTGTCTGCAGCTGGCCTCAGAGTTTAGGCCCCATCCTCTAAAATGGTGCATGATACTTCAAGGAAGTTTCCTGTTGCCAAAGAAAACATGATGACCTCAAGAACAGGTCAGAGATTCTCATTAAACCAAAATGTTATGTAATTCTTCAATGATTAACAGCTCATATGCTAACTTTCCAAAGATGTGTACTTGCACTATCCTTCAAAGCTGCCAAATGTAATAAGCCACGCAAAGTAATAATGTTCAAAGTTTATCTTAATCATCAAAACACACTCAAATGCTATTTGAAACTTCTCTGTTGTCAGAAACAGACCTCAAACTACAAGCCAAATTAATTTTAACCCAATTTTTTATTAATAACTCTCATTAATGTGTTTGCAGATGTCCCGTTGTCAAACCCTGACCTTCTGTGTGAGGGCTGGTCCACAGGAAAGAAAACTGGATCGACACAACAACAGAATTCACTGGGGACGTCATGGGCCGTGAGAAAAATCTGTCGCTCACCTCTTCTGTCAAACAGAGCACTGCTCTCCTACGATGTATGAAAACAATGTACGGTAGATACCTATTTCTTATACTTTAAGTTTGGAATTTAAAAAAATGAAAAGCTAAAGGGTGTCATGTTTTCCCTCTCCTGAATAACATATGACTTGCCAGAGTAAACTGCGCCAGATGTTAAGCCACGGGCTGAGGCCAATGTCTTTTTCTTCCATGTGGAATTCATTTCACACAAGCATTTTCTCACTTAGATATTTAATAAAATGTCTGCTACAGCAAAGGTAATGTTGAAGGGAGAAGTACAGCAAGCTACCAAAGATTTTGTTCTAAAAGCTTTAAAACACGTTTGTGGGGTTAAATTACTGACCCTATGAACACCCCCTGAATGTTATGACTTGTGACATTATTATTGCATGGAATTTGATTTGGAGACGGAATTTGTCTTTGATATTTTCTAATGGTATGTCGTTAGGACATGGTTAGGTTACGATTAAACAAGCAACTGCATTACGTAACAAAAAAATAATAATTCTAAAGGCTCTACAAACAGATTATGTCAAAAAAGTCTAGACAGCTGCTGGACTGTGTTGAAGTCACAGCTAATTTTAAACCATTACTTCAGGGTGCAATTTAAACGATGTTGTTGTGATGGCAAATCTGAAAAGTTTATATGGAATGCATGTAAAAACTAAGCAAGCTTCTGAACATTTGCTTTAGAAATTATGTTTTAATCAACCAATCCAAAGTTTAAAGTTAGTACTTTTTTTTTTTTTTAAAGAAATTAAAGGGACAGTTCACCCAAAAATGAAATTCTGTCATTAATTACTCACCCTCATGTTGTTCCAAACCCAGAAAGACCTTCATTCATCTTTGGAACACAAATTAAGATATTTCCGATGAAATCCGAGTGCTTTCTGACCCTGCATAGAACTACGACGTTTAAAGCCCAGAAACAATCTTTTAATCTTTTAAATATATTTAATCAAATAAATGCAGCCTTAATGAGCATAAAATGCTTCTATCAAACACATTTTAAAAATCTTGCCATTGTATCAGTGAGGCAGAGTATGTGTTTTGCAATAAAAAAAATACTTTGCTATGGGAAAATGTAGCTAAAGTAGTATTCTAGAGTTACTGTCTGGAAAAAAGATAAACATGTCATCCAAAATCTCAAAATGTCTCTTGTTTTGTTTTTACCTTTATTAATCAAAAACAGAAGAGCTCCGACTTGACGTCAGCACAGATCTGTGGATATTTGATCAGATATATGTCCTTGGAAATGATGGACGTTTTTGCTTGACATTTCCTGTGGTGTGACATTGCTGCCGTGTGGTTTGAGTTTGAGCTCCGTCAAGTTAATTCTTTGTCGTCTAATTTTTATCTTAAAATCAATTTTATACACCATCCTTTTTCAGTTTTATAACGTGTGAATATATCCCCTATCGTATTCTACAACAAAAACAATCAGAGCGCTTGGATGTTGACATCACTGAATTCAATGATGAACTGTCTTTAACTGAAAAATGAGTGTTTACTATTGTCATTTTGCATTATTGACACTATTTTCCTAATTAATGCTGTTCAGTTGCTTTGTCACAATCTGTATTGTTAAAAGCGCTATATAAATAAAGGTGACTTGACTTGACATTTTCATTTTGCAAGTAAGTGGTTTATAATCCTTCCAAAGATTTCCCCAGCATGACATTGGTCTTTTAGGAACGTGACCGCGAGTATAAGGCCATGAGTTAAGAGGACGGCAAGTTAGGAAGAACATTGTGGCCTGTTTGACATGATTTTTTTTTTTGATTTTTTTTTTTTGTGATGGAGGACATAGTGAACATTATCTAGTGTAATTTCCTTGCACACCTTTTTAAAACTAATGTTCCAGGAAGAGTTCTCAATGTACTACATTATTATTGTTTCATTTTCGCTTTGCAAAGGTTCTCTTTAATTGTGTCAAAAGGACGCACAGCACACCTCCCAAAGCCACCTTTAAGGTCATGAAAATATGTTCTGACAACATGGTCAGACATCTTGTACAACATAAATTTGGTTTTTAGTCAGTGCTCAGGGAACTGTAAATTAC